ACACACACATATTTATGTCCTACTAAATATATAATTTAGTACTGGGGATTGAACCCAGGGATGCTCTACCACTGAGTGGAATCCCCAACCCTTTTTTATTATGAGACAGGGTCTTGCTAAATTGCCCAGATTTGACTTGCATTTGTAATCCTCTTGCCTTAGTCTTTAGATACCTGGGATTACAGGTGTGCACTACCATGCCATCTTGAATAACAGATTTTAAAGTATCTGTGCTATTTATTGGAACTAGGCATGGTTGTGCACCCCTATAATCCCAGTGGTTTGTGAGGCTGAGACAGGAGGATCTTGAGTTCAAAGCCAGTATCAGCAAAAGCAAGCCGCTAAGCAACTGAGACCCTGTCTCTAAATAAAATACAAAATAGGGCTGGGAATGTGGTTCAGTGGTTGAGTGCCCCTGAGTTCAATTCTGAGTACCACAAAAACCAAACCAAAACAAAAAACTGTACCATTTATTAACTGGGCAATTACTAATGAACTTCCTTAGTGTTAAACACCACCCCCCCCCCACACACGTTAAACCATATAATTGTTTATATAAATCAAATACTGCATTATCCCTACCAGATTATATATTTCATGAGAGGAAGAAACTTGGTTTTGTTCATTGATATTTCCCTAGCTTCTAGAATAGTATTTGGCATATAAATTATGTACCAAAAGATGTTTGGTATGTATTTGTTGAATGAATAATGCATTCTTTGAAGCTAGAAATATCCTATATTTTGTGTCCTTATAGCAAATGCCAAGTTGTTGCTTAAAATTAAGGAAAAACAAATCCTCATTCAGGAATAGAAATATAAGACTTTCTTAGAAGCTATGTGTAAAATATTTCTGGCCTAAATAACATTCAAGATTCTTTCTTGCCTTAATATACTTTTTTTTTTTTTTTTTAAAGAGAGAGCGAGAGAGGGAGAGAAAGAGAATTTTTAATATTTATTTTTTAGTTTTCGGCGGACACAACATCTTTGTTTGTGTGTGGTGCTGAGGATCGAACCCAGGCCGCATGAATGCCAGGTGAGCGCGCTACCGCTTGAGCCACATCCCCAGCCCCTTAATATACTTTTTAAAGAATCAAAATTCAATACAAGAACACATACTCGTACTATAAAAACTAGAATAAGTGGGTAAATTTTTTTTTTTTTAGTACCAGTGATTAAACCCAGGGGTGCTTAACTACTGAGCTACATCCCAAAACTTTTTATTTTTTCTTTTGAGACAAGGTCTTACTAAGTTGTTTAGGGCCTTGCTCAATTGCTAAGGCTGGTTTTGAACTTGCAATCCTTCTGCCTCAGCTTCCCAAACCACTGGGATTACAGTTATGTGCCACTGGGTCGGGCTAAATATTTGATTTAGAAAGCAGTGCACTGTTTTTTTGTTTTTTTTTTAATTGGTACTGGGAATTGAACCTAGGTGCACTTTACCACTGAACCATATCCCCACCCCATTTTGTAAATTTTGAGACAGGGTCTCACTTAGGGCCTTACTGAATTGCTAAGACTGGTCTTCAACTTGCAATCCTCTTATCCTCCTGTTTCAGCTTCCAAATTGTTGGGATTACAGGCAACCACAGCATCCCAGCTGTTTTTTTTTTGTTGTTGTTTTGTTTTGTTTTTTAAGATTTGAGATCATTGTTGTAAAAATCAGATCTGAGAGTTAAACTTCTTGGTCTCAAGCTATATAATTAAAGTCAATTTTCTGACAAAGCATAAAAATGTCCACAAAAATCAACATGGCATCAAATTGTTAATAGAAAGCATAAAACTATATTTTTTACTGTTACTTGTACAAGCAAGAAGACAAAGAAAATATTTACATGTAACATTTATGCTCTGGACTGTGCTAATGTTATATACATAAATGACACAAATGAGATATCTGTCCTCAAATACATATGACATGGATGGGATATTTGCCCTCAGATTCATGCCAAATGTGCAGTTATTTGGATTCAAAGCCAACAACAACATAACAAATGCAGAGAACAACAGTCCAAAAAAAGAAAAAAAAAAAACAGAAAGAAATCTTCATTAAGGCAAGATCCATTTAAATTTAGAGCTTATACTGGATAATAAACAGTTTGTGAAATAGTCAGAAGAGAAGGGAGAGAAATATTCAAGCAACAATTTAAGGAAGTCCATTTTATAAGATCATTTAATTCCAGTTGTTCAGTACTTATTTATGTCAGACCACCTCTTTACTGAATGTTGAGTTTCCTGTACTCAGACTTGGAAAAACATCATCTTGTGGTTTGAAAATAGCATACTCTCAAGATAGTTGAGTGAAAAGTATATTTTTGGCTTGCTATTTTTTTTTTTTTACAACAAATTCTACTTTAAAATGAGGGTGAATTAACCAGACTTGAGATTAACTCTCATTGGTAGAACTGTGGGAGGTTATTCACTATGCTTGGAAGATAATGGACCAGAGCTGGGCGAAGTGGCACACCCCTGTAATCCAGCAGCTCAGGAGGCTGAAGGAGGAGGATGGAGAGTTCAAAGCCAGCCTCAGCAACAGAAAGGCACCAAGCAAGTGAGACTGTGTCTCTAAATAAAATACAAAATAAGTCTGGGGATGTGGCTCAGTGGTCAAGTGCCTCTGAGTTCAATCCCTAGTACCCTCCCCACCCCCCCAAAAAGATAACAGATTAGATTTTATTTTAGGCAGGGGTGGGAATCAGGGATTGAATCCAGGGGTGCTTAATTAAGAAGCCACATCCTCAGCCCTTTTTAAATATTTTATTTAGAGACAGGGTCTTGCTAAACTGCTTAGGGTCTCATAAAGTTGCTGAGGCTGGCTTTGAACTCACCATCCTCCTACATCAGCCTCCTACCTCAGCAACTGGGTTGCTGGGATTATAGGCATTTGCCACCATGCCCAGCTATAGATCAGATTTTCAAAAGCATTTTATACATAAATCATTGACAGAAGAGGACCTGAAATAAAGAAGAGTTTTTGATCTGTTAATTATTATTTTTTTAAATTTAAGAATATAAAGGGGGCTGGGGATGTGGCTCAAGCTCGCCTGGCATGCATGCGGCCTGGGTTCGATCCTCAGCACCACATACAAACAAATATGTTGTGTCTGCCGAAAACTAAAAAATAAATATTAAAATTCTCTCTCTCTCTCTTTTTATTTATTTATTTATTTATTATTTTTTTAGAGAGAGAGAGAGAATTTTTTTTGGCAAGAGTTCCAGGCCAGCCTGTGCAACTTAGCAAGACCCTGTATTAAAAAAAAAAAAAAAAGAAAAGAAAGAAAGAAAGAAAGAAAGAAAAATTGGGGGAGCAAGAGGGAAGCTTTCATAAAACAGAGTAGAGGAAGAATTGTGCTCAAGTTAAAGGACAAAATCTGAAGAATACCAACAGCAGAAGCATTCTGGAGTAAAATGAATGCCAATAGCTCTCTCAATATGAATTTACTAAAATTAAAAGGTAAACAGCCTCAACTTGTGGAGGCTTACAACATCAGAATGTGCAGCACACTTGTGATACCAGACCTTCTAGGAAAAAAAGAAATACTCAAAACAAAAAAATTTTTTTTTTTTAAGAGAGAGTGAGAGAGAATTTTTAATATTTATTTTTTAGTTCTCGGCGGACACAACAATCGAACCCAGGCCGCACGCATGCCAGGTGAGCGCGCTACCGCTTGAGCCACACCCCCAGCCCCCAAAACAAAAATTTTAAAGGGTATGGAAATGACTCTAAAGTGAAAATTAGAACATTCTAATTTACTTTCAATAAATGAAAATAAAAATCACGAAGGATTATTAGATACTATTATGTTTTTGATCACTTATCCCAGAAAGTGAATTATTAGGATCGTATCTCTTCAAAGCCAATGGAAAAGTCAATGATCCTTCTAAAAATATTCAGAATAGGGTACATTTCAACATTTAAGAAATCGCGAAATAAATGTGTAAATTATTTGAAAAAAATGTAAAAATTAAAAATTTGACTGATATTATGCTCGTAATATTTCTAAATCATTTAAAAATATGTGAATATTATTACTTCTATTTTAAAAGATATAAGAAAAATTACTCTTTTGGGGGGCTTCTAGGAAAACTGAAGGCATAATCAATATCCACACCTAAACGTGCATGTGTGTGTGTGTGTGTGTGTGTGTGTATCTCTAAATTTCTTTTTAGGGATTATTATCTATTTAAGGTGCATGAAGAGCTCAGTGACAGTCCAGGAATCAGAAACCAGCTCAAGTGGATCATTTCATGAGCATAACAAATCACCCCAAAGCCCACCTTTAATAACTAAAGCAGTCATAAAAACAGGCCGATAGTTACCCTACTGCAGCGAGAACATAATCCTCGGGCTTATTGTTGTGAAGCAGATGTCATTATGGGTGGGGCTGACGCGCCGAGCAGCCGAAACATTTTTGAACCACCCCCCGCCCCCCGCACACTTTCAATGGGATAGAAGGGGCTCCAAAAGGTAAGGGGAGGACTCCCAATCGCCCATTCCTGCTAGGAATGAGCAAGTCTCGACGTGGCCGTGGTACTCGTAAAGACCACTGTGAGATTTCGTCAAATTCCCCACAATTAAGTCCTACTCTGCGAAAGAGACCGTCCCTCTCTCCCCTCCCCTGCCGGCTCCTCCTCGGGACACTTGGCTGAGTCTTTCTTTCCCTTCTTCCCACGCTGAGGTGAGGCGGCACGCAAGCTGGAGACGCCTGTTTTTCTCTGCGCGCGGAGGGAACGCTGCGGGTAGGAAGCCAGAGAGCGGGAAGGGAGCGGGCGGCATTGTGGGGAGGCAGAAAAGGCTCGCCCGGGACGAGCCGGGCTGGGGGAGAGAAGGGACACGAGGGCCGCCGGGCCGAGGTGACGAGGGAAATCTCTGACTCCGAGCTGGGACAGGGCGCTTCCGGCGGGCCACGGTCGCTCTCGGCCTGGCGCGGCCCACCTTCCAGGCCCCAGCCCGGCCGTTTAGGGGATTAGGAGAGAGAGTAAACCGCGGCTCGCACTTGCCTCAGAGCGGGTGACCAATAATTGATAATAGTCTTTGCTGGGCGCCGGGCCTTGTCCTACAATTTCGAACAGTGTCTCCGGCAACCACGACGCCATCTTGGGACGCCACCGCCGTCGCTAAGACAACCAGGAAGGGGCGGGGCTTGATTGGGGTCAGGAGGCCAAAGCCCTAGTTTAAACCGAATCACGCTTTTGAGCTGGCAGGGGTGTTTCTAACTCGGAGAGATCGTTTCTTCTTCCAAGGGTCACAAGGAACCCTGGTCCGTGAAATTTCCACGTCCAGGTCTTGGGTGACCCGAAGGGGAATTAGTTCCTGCTACCACAGAGGGGAGGGGGTGACCCCGGCGGAGGGATACCAAGCGGAGTCCCACAGTCCCCTTCCTGGTCCCTCGAAGGGATCGGGAGGAGATCTGAGGCCGCTTGGAGAGTTGATCCGAGGCCTGGGGAGGGAGGGGCGATGTGATGGCCCGCGAGTAGGCAGCGGGGCCGGTCCCGCGGACGCTCCAGCGAGCAGGGGCCAAGGGGAAAAGTAGTTCCCAG